GGGGGCAGTGAGAAGGGTGGATTATATCAAACTGATTTGTAATATAAATTCCACTTGGGCAGAGAATTACTCTGTTCCGTTCCTCACCATATCCCCAGTGTTTAAAACAGTACTTTGCATGCAGTACACAAAAAAAGCTGTTAAATTAATTAACTGGCCCCTACTTTGCACTCTTCAATCTTTAGGATACTCAGTAACACCAGGTATTAATTTTATTATTACTTTGAATATTAGGTATTACTTGTACAACTCTAACGTACAGCTTAAAATTCAAACTCCTTTACCTGGTCATTGAAGCTGGCCCCAGACAACCTTCCACCCTCAGTGACAGTGCCACAACTTAGTACTTATGATTCCTTAAATGTCTTATGATCACACCTCAGTGCTTTTGCAAATGTTGTTCCTTCAGTCCAAATATTTTTCCTTCCTTGTCTGCCTGGAGAATTATCAACAACTAAACTTTAAAGTTGTATTCTCTGTGAAGCCTTCTCTGACCATCCCCACAACCACAAACACAACCATCCCAGGGCGACTTAGGTGTTCCCTTTTCTCAGGTCTCAGGGATCACATATTTATTGGTAATTAATGCTTCTCGCAGTACATTTAAAGTATTTGTTCAGATATATTTCTCCCATTAAACTATGAGGTACATAGAAATCAGAACATCATGGATTTTTCATCTTTATATCACTAAGGCTTAAATTACTACAAAAATACAGGAGGTATTCAATTTATTACAAATAATTACAAGAGCAAACCCAGTTTTTAAAAAAATTTGTAAATGAGATTTTAAAATAAAAATTTATGTAATTTAGTAGATAGTAAGTACAAATCAGGAAGAATCAGAGTATTATACAAAAGTGTACTCATGTTATTAGCAAAGATATCTAAAAAAGTGAAAGTAGTAAAAATCTTAATAAACTACTGACTGTTTAGATTTATTTAAATCTATCTTATTTAATGGTGTTCAGTTTGGCATTTAGGATCAAGTAAGTTATGTTGAATTTTCAATTCATCATAAATAATATTAAAAACTTTAAAAGAATCATCAAAAATTGCTATATTCTCAAAACTTACAAGTTCATTTTGTATAAAATAGCTCTACAAACACATTTTTCTAAAACAAAAATGGAAGTTATTAAATAGCAAAATATAAAACACATAACAAGTTTCCTTGGCAGGATAATAGAATTCCCATGGTATTTCCTGTAAATATAAAGGTATATGCAAGTATTTGTTACAAATACCTCCTGTTTTTCAACTTTTGGCTCAACAACTGGCGACTTTTATATTCTCCAACTACACAGATGGAAATATTGTTTTTATATAGCATAAATAAAGTTTAATATATATTGAATTTTTTTTCAAGTAAGGCTGATTTATTTTAACACAGATAATGTCTTATAAACAGATTATATTTCTTTAATTATTTCCTTTATTTTAATATTGATAAAGAAACATACCACTAAAGGTATGGTAATTTAGAAAAATCAGCAAACAAATGAATAAAAACTTTGTAACAGAAACAGGAAATCTTTCATTCTTCCTCACCAGGTATTCTCATGAGCAAGCAAGGAATTCAATAGAGCTTGAATTTATTTTTTTACTGCCTTATTTCTTTTTTGTAAGAGTTAGAATTAATAATCCTTGACTAATAAAACCTATCAAAACCATTCTGTGGTTCGAGTTATTTTACCAGAACATGTTTGTTCACTGATAAAGACTATAAAATCATTAACCAGTTAAAGTACAAAAATAATTATCTAATGGTATTGCTTACCTTTTATAAGCTTTAATATTTAAAGAAGTCAGAAACGGTGAGTCTATCTGAACAAAATGTCAAGCTGCCTGCAGCAAGACAGAAACAAAGTCACCACCCACTATGCAAGTAATAACCACAGTTACAAACCAAAAAACTGACCACATGTGAATACAAAGTGAGGTGCTGTTTCAGAAGAAGTTAAACAGGCAGGAATGAACAGTCAATTTCACTCTGAAGACAACATCATTCATTAACAGCTAAAATATGCTGACCTTGGCCACCTTACAGATACAGTATTTAAAACTCCTCGTATGCTTTCTTTATTTGAAAATGTTGCTTCTAGCTTAACTTAAAAAGAAATTAAATTCAACGAAAACAGCACTGGATTGGGCAGCCTATTGGAACAGCATTAATGGATGATAATGTCCCACTGAGAAAGAACACTGACTACATACACACTGCACAAGTCTATAAACGAGTAAACATGTTTGCTTTTAAATTAACTTTTTTTCATTTTAAAAGTGTATTTGAAAGTACTGACATTTAAAATTAAGGAGAGCAGAATTCTTAACAGAATTTTTTTCTCTGTTTTAAAGGATTAATATAAATCAACAAGTATTTATTGAGTAACCATGGAAGAGATAATATTAGGGATATAAAGATGAATAAAATCTTAATTACTGCCTTCAAGCAATTTACAGTGTATGAAGAATAAATAGGTAAGTTCACAGGTAATGATGATACAATTCATTCAAAATTCATTCAACAACATCTATTTGCCAAGAATATTTCTCAGTGCCAACAATACCAAGACTCATAAGACTGCCGTCCCTAGTCTCAAGAAGCTCACAACCTATTAGGGGTGACAAACCTAGAAACAAATGTCATATAATTCAACAGGTTCACAAATACAAATTGGTTATGGGTTCATTGGGAAAACAGAGTTCATATGCATGACATTCCTAATGGCCATCAGGGAGAGGTTCACAGAAATAAAAGCGTGAGATACAAAGTGTTACAGAGACATGGAGAAAGGAAAGCATAGCTGGGTAGAGGATTCAAGCCTTTGTTAAAGTAGAGAACATCGTTTTGCAATACATATATGTATCAAATCATCACACTGTACACCTTACACTCACACAATATTGTATGCCGATTATATCTCACTAAAGCTGGGGAAAATAGTAATTTTTAAAAAAATAACATCTCCACAAGCCTTGAGGGATACTTACAAAAGGAACACACACACGTGTGTGCCTATCTGTAAAGGTGTATGTCGGAGGTGGCTTTGGAAACAGCCCCAGGCTGAAATCCTAATTCTACCATGTAAGCTATGTAACAAGGAACGATAATTAACCTGCCAGAAGCTCAGCTTTCTTATCTTCAAAATGGGGATAGTAACCTATGTTGCAGGGTTGTTGTGAAGGTTAGATGAGATAAAGTAGTTAATGCGTCTGACCTTCGGGAGACTTATTAAAAAGTAGTCATTACTAATAAAATACCCACACAAGAGAGGCCGTGGCAGAGCAAGTGATGGAGGAACATTTCTTTCTAAGTAGTTTAAACATGAGCAATGCTATACAGGTAGAAAAATGGGGAATGTGTTTGTGAAACACGGCTAATTGGAAGGAAAAGAGGAACAAAAGGCTTAAAAAATCACATATGACCAGAACGTATACAAACTTGTATGCCCTAAATTCTAGAAATATGACTGTTATCTAGATAACTCAACCTTTTGCTCTTTCTATATGATCAATTATTATAAAAGAGTTCAAGTTTCAAAGTAAGATCAAACAACTTTTTGTCCTTCAAAGAGAGTAGCAGTGTGGAGAGAAGTCAAAATAATTACAAACTCCATATGTGTACTTTCACATAGGTTCATTAAAAGCACACACTAACAGAAAGCAACCATCAAGGTCCCATCAGTAATAAGTTAAATGAACTAAGCCAACGCCAGTCCCACACACTACAGTAAGACAGCCTCTCAGGGGACCCAGATCAGACAACTCCAGATGAGAACATGGAGGAAAGTAAGGTGTGATCCCCAATCCCCATATTTTCTCTATAATCATACCCTAACAAATGTGTTTTCTTCCCAGATTGTTCTTCTAGAATTTAGTTTTTTAAATAAACTTCCCTAAATCTCTACTCTCTAACTCCTTACCCTATCTGAAATCTGGCTCTCCCAAAACACAGTGCTCTCAGGTGGAGACTGCACCTTCCCTACATTCTACCACCCATACTCATGAGTCTGGGGTGGGGGAATGAGGGGTAACATTGTCCTGATTCCTTAGTGTCATTTCCAAATCACTGCTCTTCCAAACTTACTGAAAAATCTCTTCTCCATTGAAATTTACATCATTCAGGTTTACCAAGTCCTATCCCACCTAGCTGTTATTGGTCTCCAAATCTTCCTCTCAATCTCCACTTGTCCCAAAACTCTATTCTCTAACACAACTCTTATATTCATCCATGGAGATTTTAACCTCTAGTTTTCTCTTCTCTAAAGACTCATTTGATCCAACTCCATTTCAACTACCCCTGCTATTGCACTAGCCTGAATCTAAAACTGTTCCATCTCTGCAACAGAGAATTTTAATATTCTAGTTTTAGGCCGTAACCTACTACATTCCATCTCTCTGGTGTCATAACTGCTTCTATACCTACTCTTTGACCTCAAAGAAATCTCTAGCCACGCACTCATCAAACTATATTCCCTAAAATGTATCAACTCCCCCTAGATCCTCTCTCTCTTCTAAGGTGAACATGCCACTTATCATCCAGAACAGGGATACTTTTAAGAGTGAAAGAGGTTCTGTTCATTATAACCCAGGCTCCTGAACCAATTCTAGCTCTAATTGAGCACTTCGATAATAAATCAGTCTAACCAGAGGTCCAACCATTACTGTTGTTGCCCAGCAAAGGAATCCTTATCTTGTTGCTCTATGTCTTAGAAAAAAAGTCTTTCATTCATTCATTTATTGATTCATCCAATAAGTACTTATTAAATGTCTGTAACATGCCTGGCACTGAGTGAGGTCCTGAGTACACACAGATAAAAAGTACTGGTCGCAGCTTCAGGGAGCTTATTAGAGGAGAAGCAGTTTAAACACATAACAATAATTGCTACAAGGAATTCCTATACAAAGAGTAGTACAAGCACAGAAGTACAATCCAAGCCTCGCTGGAGCAAAAGGAAGGAAAGTCTTCACAGACGTCTGTAAGTCATCTAGAGTAGTCCCTTCTTCACTGACACTTTTCTCTTTTCCTCTCAACCAAAAGATGACTCTCCTCCCTTTGAAAATACTGCTTAAAGGTTACCGCCAAATCCTTGCCAAAAAAACTCCAATTATTCGTAAATGTCATATAATTCTTAAAGAAAACCAACCAAATCTGTGAAACTCAAAAGCAAGCAAGTAAAGAAAAATAAATACTCACTGAATGCCAGCTCTACACAAGTACCAGAGAGAGTAAGTACTTAAATCTTTTCTCATTGTGCCTAGCTCTGGTTGTCTCTACTAACTTGCTTATCATTTACCTCCCATTTGAAATTATGCATTTTTCAAAAACGAATACTTAGGCTGCTACAGTCACTAGATATATATTCCTAGGTATAACCAACTGGTTAGAATCTGATGGAGGTGCATAATGGTGGGGAGGGAAGGAACTCTTGCAGACTTCTATTGTTTTAAAAAATTTCAATCCCTAACTGGTGGCAATGTACCAAATATAACATGAATTTCCTAGTTTTCTTACCTTTAACATTTCTTAATGCAACCAAATGTAAAAACTGCAGACAATGTATATTTAAAGTTAGAATACTATCAGCAGATTTTTCAGCAGAAACTTTGCACGCCAGAAGGAAATTAGATGATATATTTAAAGTGCTGAAAGTGAAAACTTCAAACAAAGAATAATAATCTACACAGCAAGATTATCGATCAGCATCAAAAGAGAGAGACTTTTCAAGAAATGCAAAAACTAAGGGAGTTCATCACCACTAAATGGGCCTTACAATAAATGTTAAAGGGACTTATTTAAGCTGAAAACAAGGCTACTAATTAGTAACAAGAAACCATAAGAAAGTAAAAGTCTCACTGATAAAGGTAAATATATAGGAAAGATAGCAAACTAAATCAATTACAAAACTAATATGAAGGATAAAAGACAAAGTAGTAAAAATAATAACTACAACAATCAATAAAGGGTCACAAAATAAAAAGATATAACATCTGACATCAATAACAAAACATGAGTAGAGGGGAGTAAAAACATAGTTCTAGAATGTGTTCATACTCAACTTGCTATCAACTTAATATAGACAAGAATATACATGGGCTGATATATGTAAGCGTCATGATAACCACAAAGCAAAAACCTATAGTAGATAGACAAAAGATAATGAAAATGGAAACAACGTAACACTAAAGAATGTCATCAAACCACAAGGAAAGAAAAATAAGAGAAAACAACAAAACAGCTGGAAAACAATTAACAAAACGGCAATAACTACATACCCATCTAGAATTACTTTAAATGTAAATGAACTAAATTCTCCAATCAAAAAATGTAGAGTGGCTGAATTAATAAAAAAATAAGACCCATCTATATGCTGTCTACAAGAGATTCACTTCAAATATAAGGACACAGAAAGCCTAAAAGTGAAGAGATGGAAAAAAGATGTTTCACACAAATGGAAACCAAAAGAAAGCAGGAGTAGCTATGCTTATATCAGACAAAATAGACCGTGAAACAAAGACTGTAATAAAAGACAAAGAAGGACATTTTATGATAAAGGGGTCAATTCAAAAATAAGATACAATATTTGTAAATATACAGGGGTAGGAAAAAGTAGGTTTATAGTTGTAGAAATAAATAAGAAAATAACTAATACATAAAACAAAAATAAACTTTGTTTTGCATACTCACAACTGTAAACCTAATTTTACCTACCCTGTATATGCACCTAACATAGGAGCACCTAAATATATAAAGCAAATATTGACAGACCTAAAGAGAGAAATCAACAGCAATACAATAATAATAGGTGACTTTAATACCCCATTTACAACAATAGACAGATCATCCAGACAGAAAATCAATAAAGAAACATTGGCCTTAAACACACATTAAAGTTAATCCCCTTAATAGATATACAGTAAACATTCCATCCAAAAGCAGCAGAATATCCATTCTTCCCAAGTGCACATGGAACATTCTACAAAATAAATCATATGTTAGGCCACAAAACAAGTCTCAATAAATGTAAGATTGAAATCATATCAAGTATGACTACAGAGAAATGAAACTGGAAATCAGTCACAAAAAGAAAACTGAAAAATCACAAACATGTTCAGCACGCAACTGAACAAACAATAAGTCAAAAAAGGTATCGAAGGTAAAATCAAAAAATTCCTTCAAGACAAATGAACATGGAAATACAACATTCCAAAGTATATGGAATGCAGCAAAAGCAGTTCTAACTGGAAAGTTCATAGCCATACAGACAGGCCTACCTCGAGAAACAAGAAAAATCTCAAATAAACAATCTAACATTATACCTAAAGGAACTAGAAAAAGAACAAACAAAGCCCAAAGTTAGTAAACAGAAGGAAATAATAAAGATCAGAGCAAAAATAAATGAAATGGAGACTACAAAAACAATAGAAAAGATCAATGAAACTAACATGAGACCTGAAATCATAAAATTCCTAGAAGAAAACAAAAGCAGTAAACTCCTTGACATTGGTCTTATCAATGTTTTCTTTTTTTTTGGATATGACTCCAAAGGTGAGAGAAACAGAAGCAAAAATAAATAGGACTACATCAAACTAAAAAGCTTCTGCACAGTGAAGAAAACCATTAACACAATGAAAAGGCAACCAACTGAATGGGAGAAGATATTTACAAATCAGATAAGGGGTTAATATCCAAAGTATATAAAGAACTCACACAACTCAACAAAAATATAAACACCTGAATTTTAAAATGGGCAGAGAATCTAAATAGACACTTTTCCAAAGATGGCATACAGATGGCCAACAGGCAAGTGAAAAGATGTTCGACATCATTAATTATCTGGGTATTGCAAATCAAAACCACAATGATATATCACCTCGTAATGGTTAGAATGGCTATTCTCAAAAAGACAAGAAGTAACAACTGCTGGAGAGGATGTGAAGAAAAGGAATCCTCGTATAATGTTGGTGGGAATGAAAACTGGTACAGACAGCTACTATGACAAATAGTATGGAGAGTACTAAAAAAAATTAAGAGAATAGCTACCACATGACCCAGCTACTCCACTTCTGGGTATTTATCCAAATAATACAAAAACACTAACTCAAAAAGATATATGCAATGAACAATAGATGTATTTGTTGCAGCACTATTTACAATAGCCAAGATGTGTGTGTGCGCGCACATGTGTGTGTGCGTGCGTGCGTGCGTGCGTGTGTGTGTGTGTGTGTGTGTGTGTGATGGGATATTACTCAGCCATAAAAAAAGATGAAATCTTGTCATTTGCAACAACATGGATGGATGGACCTTGAGGGTATTACGTTAAATGTAATTAGTAAGATGAAGAAAGACAAATACTGGATGATTTCACTTATATGTAGAATCAAAAAATAAACTCAAAAAACAAAACAAAAACAAACTCATAAATACAGAGAACAAGCTGGTGGTTACCAGAAGGGGTAGGGGGTAGGGGGAGAGCAAAATGGGTGAAAAGGATCATTTAAATGCTGAAAGGTGTAAACTAGACTTAACAAAGGTGAACACTATGTGGTGTACACAAATATTGAATTATAATGTTGTACACCTGAAATATATATAATCTAGTATTCCAATTTTACCACAATAAAAAAATGTTGAAATGATGTTTTTTTAAAAAGCTTGGAATAAACCTCTAGAAACCTTGGAGAATGGAAGGAAAAAGCAAATTGCCAATCCATTTTGGATGAATAATGCTCCAAGAAACCATGCAATTCCCATGAGATATTAAGTATGTTCAAACTATATCTATTAAAAGAAAATATGGATCATGAAGAACAAAAAAATGAATTAACTGTTCAAACCTAATTGAATCCTGTATCCAAAAACCTTTAAAAAATTTTTAGAGAGAATTGGGGAGATCTGAATAAGGACCATTACATTAATTATATTATTAAACTAATGTTAATTTTCTTATATGTGATATTGATATTATGATCATGCAGGAAATAATGCACATTCTTAGGATGTGCATGCTAAGAAATTTATATCATGATCTGTTTAATACAGCTTCAAAAGGCTTTATAAATATATAAATATATATAAAATAATATGTAAATATATTTCTTTCCAAAGAGAAAAAATGTGGAAAAATATTAACAGTGACTGAAGACAGATGAAAGGTAATATTGGTGTTTATTGCCCTATATTTTCAATTTTCTATAGCACTGAACATTTTCAAAGTGAAATACTGAAGGGGTGGGAAGATAGAAAACATGAAAGGAGGCCAGCTTGACTGAAGTTTAAATAGTAAATGCCACACTAGTCTGAGCAAACATGAAAACCAGCTGCATGATCTTGGACAGATCAAAGAATCTTTCTAGATCTCAACTGAAAGAGAAGGAAGTGAATGATCTCTGAGGTACCTTCCATCTATAAAATTTTAGCCCATTATTCTACTACTTCTTTTCAGCTCTAAAAAGATAACCATATGCAAAGTAGAAAACCTCATCAAACTGTTGTCAGGATAAAATAAAATCTTTTAAACAGCTAGCCAAGTCCCTATCACAAAGAACACAAATTCCTCTCTTTTGAAAAAATATCTTTAAAATTCTTCAGTGAAAAAATAAAATAAAGGTATAAGTCCTAATTAAACTTGAAAGAAATAAGTAGGACAGAATTGTAAAGATTTATTTTAGTATCTATTCAACTTCAGTTTAAACCTAAAATATCAATTCTAAAAGGCTGAATATAAATATGCTCTGATGAAGCTACAAACATAAGAATAAATGGACATCCTAAGAGTTTAGCCAAGCTGAATGCTTTCAAGTGAATTTAGTATGATATACATCTAATGGCATGATGCTCCAGAATCTGCAAAATGAAATAACGATAAAATCACATATCAGGCTCAGTGAGCGTGGCTCAGTGGTTGAGCATTGACCTATGAACCGGGAAGTCACGGTTCGATTCCTTGTCAGGGCACATGCCTGGGCTGTGGGCTCCGTCCCCAGCGGGAGGGATGCAGGAGGCAGCCAATCAATGACTCTCTCATTACTGATGTTTCTATCTCTCTCTCCCTCTCCCTTCTTCCATCTGAAATCAATAAAAATATATATTTTTTAAAATCGTATATCAGAACTTTAAGTAACACTCTGGGAAGATTTCACACTGGCTTAAAATCTTAAAAGACTATTTTAAAAAGAGAGCATGGGGGGAAAAGGCTTACGATTCAATATAAAAGTATAGCAAATTATTTTCACTTCCAGAAAGATTCTGACGTGAAATGCAATTAAATTCATAATTATTTAAAAGTCATATAAATTAAATTGCAGAAAGAAAAGCAAAACAAAGTACTAACTAGTACACAGTACAAATTTGCCAGATTTTATTCCCAGCACTAACATTAATTTTAGCATTATAATGAATTTCCCTTTTAGTGACATAACCAATCCTTGATATAATAGGAAAGGCAGTTGTCTAAAAGGTTTCTGTACATAATGTTAGCATACCCAGTTGCTCAAAAAGCAAAAATCTTGGAATCATCTTTGAGTATGTTCTCTCTTTCCACATCCAAACTACCCACAAGTCACAAATTCTGACTCAAAAAAAATGCATCTCAAATCCATCCATCTCTCTCTTGTTGCTAGCATCTTATCTAGCCACCACTCTCTCACAACAGCTCCTAAAACTGCCTGCATTCACTTTCATCCCAGATAGTCCATTTCTTACACAGCAACTAATACTATTTAGAAAAAATATAACCTTCTTGCCAAACCGTTCAAAGCCCTGAATATTTCTACAACCTCTTCCTAGCTATCTTGGCCTCCCTAAATCAGCCATACCAAGGCTTTTTCTGTTCCTCAAGCTCACCAAAATCTTCCTTCCTTCGAAGTCTTTGTACCCACTATTCCCTCCTTTCTTTTACTTTCCCCTCAGCTCTATCAAATACAATTCATATATAACATAGGTAAGTTTACAAGTACAAAGTGATGATTCAACACATACATGTATAGCAAAATGACTACCACAATAATGTTAGTTAACATCGCCATCACTCCATATAATTACAACTGTATATGTGTAGTGATAACATTTAATATCTACTTGGTTAAAAACTTTCAATGTATAATACAGTAGCACTGTAGTTAATTAGTTAGCAGGCTGTACATTAGATCCCCAGATTTTATTTATCTTATAGCCGCTAGTTTGTACCTTTGACCAGCATCTCTTTCAAAACTTTCAAAGGTAAAAATAATTATTTTAGTAAATATTTAGTAATATAAAAATAAATATTTTACTTTTATTGTAGTGATTTACTAAAAAGAGTAATGTAATCCTACCTTACTACTATTCATTGCTGGTCACATCTGAGCTAAAGTAGCAGGTCCATGCCGACGGGTTTCGCATTAGGGATGAGGAAGACACTTGATAAAACTTTCAGTGAAGTCTCACAGGAATGACCATAGGTCTAGCCAGAAAACATGAGCTGCAAGAAGAAATTCAAAGAGTCAGAACTGTACACTCCAGAGAAAAAGATTAAAATGTATACATGGAGTATAGTAGGCTACTACAGGAAATCAACTGCAGCAGTGCCTCACATTCACCACATTAAAAATAATAACACTATTCGTTACTGCTTACTCTCTCCCCTTTCTTTCCACAAGTTTCCCAATGAGTAACTCACCTTACCTTCATTTCTAACCTAGCCCCTTAGTTTTGAATAGGTAATTCATGTTTTTCTCCATTTTTCACAGCATAAAACTAATTTCAAGTTTGAAGCACATCAGAAGAAGAAACTACACTTGTTAAAATATTACTACAGCCTAAAGAAGTAATTAACTATGTAAGAAAACTGTTGCCAAAGGCCGGGAAGGTTTGGGAAGGATTCTCTGGGCACACACATACTTTCTCTAACATACTTTAGTATGACACTTGTATTGGCGGGCTATTCTCTCAACCCTTGAAAATAGAACTTCTTTTTTTTTTAATCTTCATCCGAGGAAATGTTTATTGATATTAGAGAGCAAGGAAAGGAGAGAGAGAGACAGGGAGAGACACTGATGTGAAAGAGAAACATTGATCAGTTGCCTCCTATAGGCGCCCCAACTGGGGATCGAACCTGAAACCTAGGTATGTGCCGTGACTGGAATCAAACCCGCAACCTTTTAATGTGTAGATGATGCTCCAACCAACTGAGCAACCCAGCCAGGGCTGAAACTAGAAATTCTAAGATGTTTATGGGTCACTGGCTCTCTTATCACTGATGTCAATATATGCAGATTACAGCCCTGTCACTGTTTCTCATTTTTTGCCTCACACCCTCATATTTCTAGTCCCAAGTTCTTGGTTTATACTCAGCTCTCCCCTTCTTTCAAGCTCCTCATTTTTGCTTGCCTATTCTGTTTCCTGTCATCTCCCTTACTTCTTTGACTTTCATACAAAGCAGAGGACGTTTCATTGATGTTACCAATAAGATCACTCCTTTCCTTCTGGCCAGGAAACTGACCAAACACAGGAATACCTTCCAAGTCTCCTCCTCTTCTAAGCTTTTGACCCATTTTCAAAGGGTTCCTCCTTTGCCTCCCAGACAAGCATTTTCTTCCAGATTTATTCTCTTCCAGATTTGGCAAGGTTCTCAATGTTAGAACTGGGTGGAAATCTAATCTGCATATAATGAAAGTGTTATTAATCCCTCTACTTCAGCTAAACTGTGATATGATCGAAGACAAGGATTGTTACCTCTTTTTTTTAATTTACCTTTATTGTTGAAAGTATTACAGATGTCCCCCCTTTCACCCCTTTCACCCCGCTTCCCCCCTCCAGGTCTTAGCCAGCATCCTACATAATACATGGAACAATGCAGCCCCCAAACAAGTGACTACTGAATGAATAAAATTCCAAGGCGAATTACAGCTTCCTCCAATTTGTACACTTTGGAGTAAAGTAAGGCTTTGACAGGAGTTTTCGTATTAAATGATAAAATTCATAACTAAAATGATATTTAAATACAAAAAAATTTAATCATGACTTCTCATTCATACTGCTTTCAAAAGAGTATCTTCAATTGAATCTCCAGAAATAGTAAATAGTATTACTTATAAAGATTTCCAAGGAACAAAATATAGTGTGTACCTTAATGTACATGTTACATATGTTACCTTATTACACTCTAAAGACAGATCCCCCCAAAGTTACTGGGCAATCCACTTAATTTGAAAATTTTTGGCCTTTCTTCTCTATTAGCAAAGATAGTTCAGAGTTATCTAGAATTCCATATTCTGGTCTCTCACTGTGATACAGAAACAGCTATTTTCAAAGACCTAAAAACAAGAAAGAAAGCTATTCAACTGGCATTCCCTGCCCAACATTCAGCATTGTCAAATGTCTTGTTCAAGAAAGCTAGTCAGAGCTCCCATATGTTATGTATCATTCTCCAACTCAAGTCTTTTCTATACTTTTTATCTTTCAATGAAAAAAACAGTATCTTTCCACTAGATATTGAAATAATTGTGGTTAAAAATAAGTAACAACCTCCTTGGTAGAATCTCTAAATGAAACATTTCTTTGTTCAACCTACTGTAAGCCTATGATTAAAAATGATAGTCCTTTTAATACTTCAAAAGTATTATTATCCTTATAAAAACTCAACAAAGGCTTTCTACAGACGAATTAAAAATGTATAATAATGACTTTCTGGTACCCCTTAATCTTGCCCACCAACTTCCCCATCTACACAGGCTGCCATCTCTAACTCACGCTCATAGCCAAATATAGTTCCTATTCCTTAATTGTGCTTCCCCTACAACTACAACTAGAGTGAAGCAAGAGAGGTAACTAGAGTGCAAAATTTATGGAGACATTCACTCTCGAGGTCATGCACGTCCACTCTGCAGCTGCAAGACCCTAAAAGTGAGCACAGTCCTATTTTGTGTCCTAGGCATCTCTCATGTCTCACCCTAGTCCTGACCCTACTTCTCTGTCCCACCTCTACTCCTCTTACTTCTCTAATAAGTAACAAGCCAAAAGCTAATTCTGACCAACCAAATATCTAAAATTAAGCAATGAATTTAAATATAATTTTGCACTCATTTAAAATTATGTTTTCAAATAAAATCTCTTGTTCACAATGTGATGTTAGGTGAAAAAGAGATGAGGCAGGAATGCCTATATACAATAAGATTTTGGTGGGGGGTTTTTTCAAATGAGCGTGAGTTACATGTGCATGTAAGTAAAAGACATGTTATTTTTTACTCCCCTTCTTTTGGTGGCAGCATCTCAATTTTTTCTGTTAACTCTCCTTCCCTTATTCTCAATCCATTAGTGCCATGTGGCACTAATCATTTCCACTCTCAAGTTTCTGGAATGAGCGCAAAGTTCCTGAAATATGTGCATGACCCAGGTATGGACAATCAGCATATTCCCTCCCCCAAGCAGTAGCTCAGGAATGGGTATGTAACCCAAGAGGACTGATAAAACTCAATTCTGCAAGAACTAATGGGGAAGCTATCTTTCAGCTGAGGTTGCTAAACTGAAAGAACATGATAAGTATCTACTTCACAGTAAGCCAACCAGAAAAAAAGAATTGCTAAGAGATGGAAAGAGATAGAAAGAACACTCTGAAAACATTTTGCCCCTAGATCTAATCACATCTGAGTTCAGGGGAGTTCAGGTGTTAACAGATATACCTGCTACATCTTAGAATTACTGTTGGGAAACAATTCTCTCTGGATTTATCACATTCCTGCACAATCAGAGCCTTCTTAGCAAAAGGTACTACAAGGATATTTGCATGACAGACAGACAGTTTTGGAAACTAGAGACAGTGTCTCCCTACAGATGGAGACTTCCAATGAGCTTTGGAGAAATAAAGCCCTCTCCTTCCCTTCCCTGGAAGACATTCACCTATATTATTTTATTAACTTATGTTTACTATGTTACTTTATATTTTTATTTATATTTACTTATATTCTAGTATAATAAACCTAAAGACACTTTCCCTTTCTCCCCTGGAGAAATTTGCTTAATGAGTAATCTCTCTCCCTCTGCAGGATATTCTCTTCCCATCAGTACATGAGGCAATAAATTATTTTTTCTTATTTATTAATTCATTCAAGAAATATTCGCTAAGAGCCTACTAAGCTATGTGCCATGCATTTTCCTACACAGCAAAATAGATGAAAATTATTGCCCTCATCACAATTACATTCTAGAGAGAGGAAACAAAATACAAAATAAATCAGTAAAATGCACAGTACTGAGTGGTAATAAGTGTTATAAAGAGAGAAAAGGCATATATGCATGACCTATGGACACAGACAATAGTGTGGAAAAGACCTGGGGGGCAGGGTTGCTGGGTGGAGGGGATCAAT